GACGTAGCTTATACCGTACATTTGGTCATTATGAAGCATGATCACATATTTATGACCCGATTCATGGCGAAAAAGTGTGATGTTGAATATATGTTATGTGGCATCATACAATCAGCAAAAAAAAAAACAAAAAAAAAAACATATCCATAGATGCTGCTAAGCAGTTTTAGACGTAAGATAATGAAAGGCTTCTTTAGCGTCACATAGCTGAAGTTCAGAAAAAATATTTAACATTATTCTCTGAAATGACACGTATCTTCAGTTTTTAGGTTTAAAATATAAGCGATTGTAGAAAGACTACCATTATCATTTAATCACGGTACGACGAGAGCACGTTTGTTTCTATCGTTTCACAGCCAACAATCTTTTGATTGAATATTGCAGACAAAGTTTAAGCATCAAAAACACGAAATTTCGCAATATACGCAATACATACTGTTAAACAAAGTTCTGTCACAGCATGTCTTTTTAAGGAAATGTAGGGTTCCCAAATACAGTGACGAAAAAGAGCTTCTTTTCGCCATCCCAGTTTCATTGTTCCGCAGCAATTTCTTACGCGACAGGGCCGGAAATTGGGACACACGCCTGCCTGCGTTAGATCCTACGTAAGCTTCACCTTATGCGGCTCCTGTGTGGACAACGGTTACAAAAATAGAAACGCGGCGGCATTCATGGAAGTGTCAACTCGCTTCCACGAGTTTTCTCTCCCTCAAGTCTTTGGAAAAGCTTAATGGTGCCGAGCTGTTTACTGACGAACGTGTTATTACGACATTCTAAAAATCAGGCTGAAATATATATATATATATATATATATATATATATATATATATATATATATATATATATATATATATATATATATATATATATATATATATATATATATATGAGAAAGAAGTGTATACCTAAGGGCTCGTTTTTCCGTATTTTGACACAATATTAATGAGATCTAACAGACAGTAATGCCAAGGAATGTACAGGGGAAGTTATTAGAACCAATGGAATGTAAATAAGAAAGAAAAGTGGGTGAAAAAATAACCAGCCGTGAGCATGCTCACGGCTGGTAATTTTTTACCCAATTTTCTTTCTAATTTACATTTAATTGGTTTTAAGAACTTCCCCTGTACATTCTTTGGCATTACTGTCTGTTAGATCTCATATATATATATATATATATATATATATATATATATATATATATATATATATATATATATATATATATATATATATATATATATATATATATATATATATATATATATATATATCATCAGTCTGACTATGTCCACTGCAGAGCAAATGCCTCTGCCATGGTCCAGCAATCAACCCAGTCTTGTGCTTTTTGCTACAACGTTATACCTACGACCTTTTTAATCTGACTGGCCCACCTAACTTTCAGTTTCCCTTCGTGCGTTTGCCTTCTCTGGGATTCCAGTCAGTTACCCTTAATGACCAGCGGTTATCTTACCCACGTGCTAAGTGCCCAGCCCATGTCAATTTTTCTTCTTGATTTCAACTAAATGATAAACCTAACAGGGTAGCCATGCTGGTCTGAGCATTGGCTAACGCCCCTGTCTTTCTTTTCCTCCTCCTTATTCCCGGTTTCTTCCCTGACCCACTCTGCTATCTTCTTGTCGCTTAAGGTTACACCCATCGATTTCCTTTTCATCACTTGCTGCGTCGTCCTCAATTTAAGATGAGTCCTGTTTGCAAGCCTCCAGGTTTCAGCTCCGTGGGCAAGTACTGGCAATATGCAGCTGTTATATACCTTCCTATTGAGGGTTATCGGTAGATTATCATTCATGATTTGAGAAAGCTTGCCCAATGTGATCCACCTCACCCCTGTTCTTTTAGTTATTTAACTCTCATGGTTCGGCTCCGCGGTTACTACTTGTCCTAAGTAGACATATTCGTTTAAAACTTCCAGCATCTCTCCACCTATCGCGAAGTGCTGTTTTCTGCCGAGGTTGTTTTACATTACTTTAGTTTTGTGCAAATTCATTTTCCGATTTACTCTTCTGCTTTCCATGTCCAGTTCAGTAATAACGACCTATATTTTGTTTCCTGATTTACTCACTAAGGTAATGTCATGAGCGAAAAACCAGTTACTCTTCATTAACTCTTATTCCTAACTCTATCCAATCTAAGGTCCTGAACACCTCCTGTAAGCACGCGGTGAATAGCGTTGGAGAGATTGTTTCTCCCTGCTTTACAACCTACTGTATTGGGATTGTGTGGCTTTGTTTTGAAGAATATGGGGGCTGTGGATCTGTTGTAGATTTGTTTCAGTATGCTTATGTAGGGTTCATCCATGTGCTTATTTCGTAGTCCCTGCATTACTGCTGATGTCTCGACTGAGTCAAAGGCCTTCTAGTAAGCTACGAAGGCTACGTATTGGGTTTATCTGTAATACGTGCATTTCTCTATTACCTGATTGATAGAATGAATATAGTATATTGCGGAGTAGCCTGAACGAAATTCTACTTGGTACTTTGCTTGATTGAAGTCCAAAGTCACCTTAATTCTTTTAGCTAGTATTTTTTAAAGAGTTTCCAGAGGATGGATAGTAAGCGGATCAGCCTGTAATTTGTTGAGTTCTTGACATCTCCTTTTTCATGGATTAAGATCGTGTTGGCATTCCACGATTTTGCTGCCCTTTCTATCAAGAGAGACTTTGTATATAGGGTGGCTAGTTTTTCGAACACAATTTCTCCGCCGTATCTTTTTTCTAACTGCTAAAGTTTCTAACTGCTGAAGAATAGACTGGCGCTGCCTTTAAAGCTCTATCCTATTTTGTTGGTGTTTTGAAGTAATAATTAAAATAACTACAGAACGGCGCGCCCCCTCCTGCGCCGCTGCTCTTGTTTTACGTCTTGCCAGCCCTGTTTCTTTCCCTCCGTCTCGACACCGTTCATTACCGCGGCCTCAAATAAACCTTTGGACGCCCTAAACGCTCCACTTGGCGTGACGCCCGTCGTCCAGGGTGCTGTCGACCCAAACAACATCTTTGCGGCAACAATATACAAGACTGACAGCTAAGATTGTTTCCCTTAAAAAATAAAGAAGGGAATAGAAAAAGAACATGGCTACGGTTAAGCGTGTCGCGGGAGCTTAATCGTAAATAGACGCCGAGCACAGGAACACTTTGTTGCAGGAGGTTTAGAATATACAAAATAAAGGAAGTGAAGGGACAGGAGATGCGTTTTTTTTATTTTGCCAGCAAGAAAAAAAGCTCAAGTAAATTAACTGTTTTCTTTATGTTATCAAGCAGTATCACACCTGGTCAAAAACGTCTGACAGAAGCTATGGTGTTGTTTGAAGTTACGCGCGCAGGAACGTGAATGTTTATGCTTTTGCTTTTATTCCGAGACTCTCTAGGAACACAACCGCAAGAAAGTGGAAGAAAATTATGTTGGCGACAGTAGGCCTTGGTCGAGGATTAGGACGATTAAGATAACATTTCAGAACGTGCCTAGTCACTGGAGAGCTAGGTGAAAGCTTCGGCACTGGAAATGTGGTGAACAAAATGCACCGATGTGATTGGAATATTTGGCTGAAGCAAGCTATTTAACAAGATATGTACAGGCATCCTAACACGCTCAAAGCACCCAATACAGAAAGAAAAGTCGCGTAGACCGAACGAGTGCGGACATGTTGTTTTTTTGTGTTGTTGTTCTGGGATTGCCCCTGTGTGCTTGTTCAGTTCAACAAGTTCAGTTACCCTTAACAAACTAAAATTCCTGCGTTGAATATAGGTATGGGGCGTATGCGTACCTATTAGGAGCACACAGTATTTTCCACCCCTCGCCGCCTTGTTCAGGCAGTCTACTGCGTCAATTTTTGGATGCATGGCTGCTCAGAAGATCAGTGCTGCCCTCTTTGCGGCTGGATTAGTAGGTGCCCTTAGCTCACACATGTGTCCTTGACACAGCCTCAACTCACGGCAGGGCGCGTGGTTGTTTCTGGAAGCCACTTAAAGCGCGGGCCACGCCGAAGCGTTTAACCCGGTTAGTTAGCTACTCATTGGACCTTTGACGCGAAAGTGAAGGGAAAGAATAGACAAGATGGAGTCACGCCAAAATGTATTTGTACACTACACAGCAGCTTCTTAGACGGGCTTAAATACCCAAAGGATGTTTGCGAGGTGTGCGACTCAACCGCATCGCGTGCAGGGTTTATCGAAGACGCCAGGGTATATGTGGCTCATATAGTGTAGCGGGTTTCGGTAAAAAAATGTGTTGGTGGGCTTCTCCACGTGATGTGCTGGGAGAAATTTCTATTTAAGATGTTCAAATTTCTCCTCTTTCAATGTAGTTTTTTGTGTGTGTTAATCTAGAGATGACATTTATTAGCGTTAACTGTTGCGTCCAAGCTTCTGATGTGGAGGAAAGCTTTTGCAGCGTGTGTACTGCTACTCTAGCGGCATCGTTGTGCTGAACCACACAACTGCTATTGAGTGTTAAGGGGTGTTGTTTCTATGTATTGTTTTATTGTGTGTTTGTGAAGTACGAAATAGCCCTGAATTTCGTTAAATGTTGTGTCAATGCGTTACATGTGGAGCACTGAGGAATATACATTTCTTCCTCCATCATATGGAGGGACGCTTTTCTAGTGGGTATAATGCTACTATTGAAGTGTTATCGGACTGAATCACGCTGCTGTTAAGCATAGGGTGGCATGGTTTTCTTGTGTTTGTCAAGTATTGAATGGCCCTGAATTGCGTTAACTGGTGTCTCAACGCGTTACTTGCGGAATAAAGCTTTTGCAGTGCGTATACTACTACTACTTTTTCAGTCTTATTGTGCGGAACTATGCTGCCGTTAGGCATAGGGCGGAATTGTCTTAAGACACTAGGTATTTGTGCATATTAGCCGTTTCCCCGAGACAACAGACACAGTATCCTAAATGATATCAACAACAATAACAACAACAACAACAAACAACAGCAACAACAACAACAACGAGTGCCACCGCGACAACAACCACATGACACTTACCGAAGACGAGTATGAGCAGATCCGAGATGGCTAGCGAGAAGAGGTAGTAGTTGGTGGGTGTCTGGAAGTGAGAGTTGCGCGCAATCACCAGGCACACCGTGACGTTGCCCACCACGCCGCTCACGAACACCACCACGTAGAGTACCGTGAGTGGGATCACGATGGGCAGCAGTATGTGCTGGGGTCCCAGCCTGAGTTCCAAGTACTCCCGTATGGTGGCGTTGTCCTCCAACGAACTCACGGCTGCCACAGCTACGTTCTCCATCACAGTGCACTGTCCTCGATGCACGGAACTCACAGCACTACAAGAACAATCATCTGTCCTATTTCAGTGCTCTCGATGCACCATGATCACGATGTGACCGAGCCAACGCATCACAACCTGACACTCTTCACACTGTCGGCACAGCAGATAGTCCTGCGAAGGCGCAGCTATTTCTTGGTTGTTTCTTCTTAGTGACATACACAGGTGATCACAGAGTATGGTGAGAATATTCTTTGGCTTGACGTCCCTGACGACAGTTTCACATAACTCACAGATTCTTCAAGCGAAACCTTCACTTAAGTGGTAGTTTCTAGGTGAGGTGCCACTATTAGGCTTACATCAACTACCTTGTACCAGTTGCCTTCGTGATGGTGTCTGCTCAGTTCGAAGCATGCATGCTCGGTTCACAATGACTGGTATTGGAGACTGCCCGTCCACCCTGCACTCTATGGTTACACCCTTTCAGACCGAAACGCTTTGAGCGGTTACACGATGACGTTTGCAACAGAAAAGCCTTTCCGTTCTTTCAATTTGAAACGCCTGTGGAAGGACACACATGCAGCTTGAAGCGGGTAATTGAAGTCTCCTAAATTGACTAATTTGTGTCCTTTCGACAATACAGAGCGCGCAGCAGTTCTTGGTACAAGAACAAAATTTAGAAGCCAGACGACTCTGGCAGTTCCTAAATGAGTCAACCAGTGGAAAGGTTTTGACGTTCTTTGCGGGGCATGCGAGAAACGTTTAAGGTAGTGCGATTGCTTTTCCGTGTCATTGTGTCAGGCACCAGTTTGTTTTAATTCCCAGATCACATTTAAGTTCTCGCAAGGGTCACAAAATTATTAAAACACTCAGTCGTTTTTCTGCATAAAACGAATAAATCAGACTGCCTCTATCAGCCGAATAAGCAGCTAGTAGGCACTATACGGAGGGAGATAGACAGAGACTATACCACAAATTTGACAAGCTGCAGATAGTCGGCGCTTCGCAATCAAAACAGCAGTTGATATCAGAGCTTTAGTTTACACCTTTTTCCCCTAATCAACGAACCGCTCCTTATGCTTTAAGCACGGACAAAAATGTGAACTAGAGACCCTGAGCTATCAGTGGCGATGCTTTGAAGAAGGTTCAGTAATTTTTGTGAATTTAATTGTCACACCTGCTACGGTTAACATTGAACACTTCGTTATCGCCTATGTGTTCGGCCGAACGCTACCAGTGGTCCACATTGAGCATTCAAAGGTGTTGGTACACCTGATGTGAAGACTTTGTGAAAATACAACGCGTTTCTCTATGTTGGAGAACGTTGTCAAGCGTTTGTTCTAAAGCTTCAAACTCAACGCCACAGGCGTTCCACGCTGGGTATTTGGCGTTCAACGCTTCATAATCAGCGTAAGAAGTCCAGCACTGTTTGCACAGTTTCAAGTCATCTTACTGCTTCCACTTATCGGTGATGTCGCTTGCTTAGACGGGTCTCGCTGTATTCAGAAACTGTGTTCCGTCACGAAGAACAAGAGGCGTGGAGTTCCAGGCGCGGAATCAGCCGTCAAGCCGAGGTCACCGTTTTCTGCCATGGATCTACCAAACATGGGTACCTTTCGGGGAGTTTTCTGGCTCTTGAAGCACAGCAGGGAACAAGGAAAACCTGGAGCAAAAAAAAAAAAAGCAGCGATGAACAAAACGACGTTATTAGAAATAAACTAGGTCGACACGTCACACAAATCTAAACCGCCACGTTTTGAGGGCAAGTCTCTTAACAACTGAGCTTAACTACATACATACTCGTGCTTGGAGAATTTCAATGTATAGGAACTGCAAGGAAACGTTGTTTGGACATATGGAGGCTATACTTTACAGCTTTTGAAAACATCTGTGAGTGATGCCACCGCGAGGTGGCAGCAATGTCATCCTGCCTTAACTGAATGAAAAATTGGAAAAAAATCATATTTGACGACATTACTATAGTTACCAAAAACTGTTCCCAGTTATATGCGGCTGATAGCCACTGTAACGTTCCGAAAAATTGTAGTATTACACTACAAAGCGTCTGGCTTAGAAGAACAATTGAACGTCGCCCATTAAAAAAACATGAGAGCCCCATTGTACTATGTTAAACACTCTTGAAAACCAGTGGTTCTTATTGAGGCAGTGCAATTTTTTTCATGATATTCCGATGGGGCTGTGCTGCGTATAAGCGAGAATCGTTTTGGATAACTAGCTTTTTGTCAGGTATAATATATTTCACCATTTTTTTTCTGTTACGGCAGGCCACCACTGTCGCTGACGAGAGATGACGTATGCACGCATGCCCAAAAATACTGGTCCTTTCACTCGAATGACAAATGAGAACGCTTGCTATGGTCAATTTTCTGGCATATTTTGCGATGGTGAAATGAAAGCCTTCTGTAGAACATCGAGTGAAGTCAACATCTACAATTGCGTATATCGGAAGAATTCCGAATTTAAGCAAATTAGGTGCGAAGCATGCCTTCAGGCTACCGTGGGTCGGGCTTCTTGTTGGGTCATGCCAAGAAGATTTAAAAAGAAATCTCCTTGACCCTTGCCGCACGCAGACGGTCTTGTAAGAGAGTGGAAAACGTCATGCCAATGTGACCCGGAAACAGATCAAGTCCCATTGAACGCCTCAGCTGTGCTCGTTCCCAGACGCTGTCCCTACAGTAAACCTCCATGCGGTAACCACCGCTACGGCTGCAGCTACCATCATTGAGCTAATTTCCCGAAAAAAAAACATTCTGCGTGGAGTTTAAGGCGACAGCCTTGAATGTCTCATGCTTCCGTCCGTGCGTACCTCCGTCCGTGTCCAGCTATCTCTGCCTAGTAATGGCACAGACCCACAATAGTTTCGCAGGTTTCATTTCGGATATTTGAACGTATATTCCTCCAATATCGAGTGCTACACTGACAAAACAATCGCACCATCTGTCGCTAAAGGGAACCATGTCTACGTGCGAAGCCGTGGGCGCTTACACCGGTGGTAGCTTCGACGCTGACGCTAATCGCGGCGTTGCGGAGAAGAAAAGCTTCGGGAGGTGCAAAGAACGCAGTGATGCACCGCTGTTTCCTGGTGTAACACACCAATCGCTGCTAATGGGTAGTGAGAGGCAGAAGACCCCAGTTGGACGCTGAATCCCGCAGACCAATTCAGTGAACGCGCGTGCTGCGACTTTTCATTTTTGAATAGCGCACAGGAGAACCTAAGTTAAAATCCGTTGGCGACGCTGATATCGGTGTCAGTAACGCGCCTTATATCCAGATGGTAGCGTTGCCTCCGGGACATCCATCGCACGACCCGCTCTCGACGGGAGACTGAGAGAGAAGGCGGGCGCACGAGAGAGAGGGGTGCGCGCGCAGCTGCAGCAAGCGAGGAGAGCGGAGGAGCGAGCGAAGGGGGAGGAGGACTATCAGCGTCGCGTCCGTGGCTTATTCGGTAGAGCGTCGCGCTGCGGCCCGCCAAGTCCTCTTTCTTTTAAAGATAGAGAGAAGACTGCGGACGCCGCCGACGGCGGTGGATGGTTTGGGGTCGCTTATAAAGTGTATTCACACTTAATATCCTACCAGCGCTTCCTTGGAGTTCGAAATTCAGTGCCTATATACACGGGGTGTCCTGTGATTGGTTGTATAGCGCGAGCAGTCAGTTTTTCTCTATTAAAAAAAACTCTCTAGCAGACGCTGCCTGCGTCGGTATTGTGAGGAATAAGATAGGGGGAAGACGCGCACGCTGAGTAAGGATGGTCACGCCGCACACCGGACTGAGTTCTACCATAAGATACTTTTCATTCAAAACAAAGGGGACATGGCATGTTCAGATCGAATGGTCACAGGCTTTCACGGAACACATTTCTGAATATACAAAGCGTTCTTCCGTTTTGCTTCCTTCGAAGGGCCACGTTCATCCAGAAGCTGTTTCATTGTGGTACATATAAAAAAAGCCTATTACTCAAGTGCGCGATACGCTGCCTGCGTCGGCATTTCAAGGAGTAAGAGAGGGGGAAGACGCGCACGCTGAGTAAGGATGGTCACGCCGCACACCGGACTGAGTTCTACCATAAGATACTTTTCATTCAAAACAAAGGGGACATGGCATGTTCAGCTCGATGGTCACAGGCTTTCACGGAACACATTTCTGAATATACAAAGCGTTCTTCCGTTTTGCTTCCTTCGAAGGGCCACGTTCATCCAGAAGCTGTTTCATTGTGGTACATATAAAAAAAAGCCTATTACTCAAGTGCGCGATCAGTATACAAGATTACATCTTGTTTATTAAAAGAATGTCGCTGCAGCCGGAGGGGCATACCTTCTATATTGAAAGCATTTAGTAACAATTACAGTACTTTGTTAAACATCACGGGGAACAGAAATATACCTCAGGAACAATAGAGGGGCAGGACATTTGAATATGTATTGATTCTAGTCTGAATGTACGGCTGATAGTTTTCGTACGATAGTAAGTATACACGGAGACGCACGGGATGGCTTTATGCTCTCCCATAATAGAGTACCAAGTGCTCCGAATCATCAAACACTTCTTTCTAAACTCTTCTGCTCTCCCTTAGTAGAATATCACACACGTCAATTCGTTAAACGTTTTCTTCTAAATACGCTCTCATCTGAACAAAATGAGGTAAGATTTAATATTATATACAAGATTAGCCATATGCATCACGCCATATCTGCGTTTATAATTAGGAACCATAAGCCAACACACAATATAGGCAAATACACTTTAGCGTATCAAATCACGTCTGTTGAACGCACCTGTGAAAAGCATAATATAATATGAATCCGGTCAGTGGCGTAGCCACAAAGTGGTACACCAGCCCCCCCCCCCCTCCCCCTGAATTCGTTTCGCCGAGGTATTAGGGCGCGAAAAAACCTGGGGCACCAAAAAACCGTTCATCCTACGTCCCTGCAGCCGGTATTCGATCTCATGTCACACATTCTGCGACATGGTTGCCGGGATTGTGCCACTGTCTTATCTCATTCGCTGCCGCAATAGCACTGTATCAGAAGTGATTTTTTTGTTTTATATACAATAGTTTCACGTAGCTCCGAAGAAGTATGTATAAAGGACGAATTTCCGGGGTTCTCGAGGGCAATAGAATTCGGTCGTCTCTTCTAGTCCACCTTGAGCCGCGAGTCGAAGCGGCCTGCATTTTCGTTGGAACAGGAAATGCTTGACGCCCATGTACACGGATTTAAACACCCGTTAAAGACCCCAAGTGGTTAAAATTTCCGTAGCCCTAGACTACAGCGTCTCTCATTATCATTGTTCGTTTTAAGAGTGCTA